AGGGGGGGGGGAGAAGCATAGGCCAAATAAAGCCGAGATTTGTAAAACTCGTTTAAAGGTACATAATAATAATCTCATTAGGACGAGTGAATAGACGAGAGTATAACCCTACGTGTCCTCTAAGATGGACACGGCCCGATTTTCAACCGGGAGGAAGAAAATCGGTCGGGTTTTGTTTTTGTCTTGTGTGTCCACCAGTGTATTCCACACACTGTGTCACAAGGCTGTGTCCTCGGTACAGGGCTATAAATAATCGATGTTAATGAACCCAAGGCGGGAATAAGAAATTAATGGGGGGTTTTTTTTAAGGAACATTGGTAAAATTGTTAATTTGCATTTAAACCAGGTGGTTTGCGCATATATTTTGCTAATTTTGAGGCGCTGATTACGAATATGACATTAGAATTTTAATCCGAACTCAGAATTAGAATTTGATTTTAGCTCCGACGGGACCTATGGCTCTCGAGTCACGACCCGGCCCGGCTAAAATTGAGCAGGCGGCTTTCAAACCGACACGTCTTTTGTCGGGGCGTGTCGTGTCATGTCTGTTGACACAGCCAAACATACGTTTCACTGATTTCTTAGTAAATAAACGGTGCTCCATTTCAACTACCGACTCTCCGAGAAACGGATGGAATCGGGTCGGTTGGAGTCCGTCGCAGTGGACATGGGCCCTTAGGCTTATAGCATATCGTGTTAATATTACGATGCAAGGACGCTAAGTTTTTCTTCTTGAAATTGACATTTAAATTTGTTTTGTGCATGTATTATGTTGATTAGTTTTTCTCTTTTGGGTTTGGGACACAACGTAGTTGTAAATCTTCTTGTATAATATGATTAACCTCTTAGAATTGCTGACACTATTTTACAACCAAGAGCTGTAGGCCTATAGGCAGCGCAATATGTATGCTACTACATAGTATAGTTATCATGATCATCATCATGATCATCATCATGATCATCATCATGATCATCATCATGATCATCATCATGATCATCATAATCATTTAGCAGCATCACCATCAATGCATTTTACCCCTAGCAGGGTATAGGACACATACAAGCTCCTTCCATTTTTCTTTGTAATGGGCCATCCTTCCAAAGCTCGTTCCTAGTGTGCTTCATCTCTCTCATGTCCCTTTCCACACATCCCCTCCATGTTTCCCGTGGCCCTGCCTCGTGCTCTCTATGGGTTCCACTGCAGCTACAGTTTTCGTGATGTTTCCGCTGGACTTTCTGAGAGTGTGTCCCATCCATCGCCGCTTTTTTAGTCTTATTTCTACTTCTATATCCTTTTGTCCTGTCCTTTCCCACAGCTCTTCATTTCTTATTCTATCATGCCACTTAATTCTTAGGATACTCCTCATACACGTGTTAATGAAAGTCTGGACTTTATCCAAGTTTCGCTGCCGTAGAGGAGCACACTTGACATTGGAGTAAAAGAGTCGAATCTTAGTGCACAGTGAGATGTTGCTTGCTTTCCAGACGTTTGGTAAGTATAATTAATTGAATGTCTACCTTGCCTTGGAGGTTCTTGCTTTTACACCTGACTCAGTTCCACCTTCACTATCGATGACACTTCCAAGGTAGGTAAAGGAGTCCACTTTTTCCACGGGAGTGTCTTCCACTGTCACAGCGAGTCTTGAAACTTTTCCTAGCTTCACTACTTTCGACTTGCCCAGATGTATGCGTAGACCAAAAGTCCTTGATAGTAATGATAGGCTGTTGAGCTCCTTGGTCTTTTCTTGCATCTGAGCATGTGTGTGTCAGAGCAGTGCAAGGTCATCGGTGAAGTCCAAGTCGTCCAGCTGCTGCCCAGTGGTCCAGTATTCCTTTATGTTTGCCTATGGTAGCTTCTTTCATGGCCCAGTCAATTGCCTGTATGAAGAGAAAAGATGAGAGCAAGCATCGTAGTCGCACTCCTGTCTATACCTGGAGTGGTTCTGAGAGTTGTCCTTCAAGGAAGACTAGGCAGTTTGTTTCATCATAGGTGGCCTTCACAAGCATGACGATTTTGTCAGTTATTCCATGCCCCATGAGGTTCCGCGGAGTTTCTCTGTCCATGCTGTCAAATGCCTTTTCATAATCAATTAAGTTGACCACAAGTGGTGAATTCCATTCAAGCGATTTCTCAACAATGATGTACAGAGCAGCGATCTGGTCCACACATGATCGATTCTTGTGGAATCCTGCCTGGTTTCCTCGGAGCCTCATCTGTTGCCAGCTTGATTCTCTCCATAAGTATCCTGTTAAAGACTTTCCCATGTATGAACAAGAGTGTTGTGCCTCTGTAGTTGTCACAGTTGCTGCAGGTCTACCTTCTTTGGCAGCTTGATTAGGTGACCTTCATGCCCCTTCTGATGGTATTTCCTCCTCTTGCCAAACCTTTCCAAATATAGTATAGAGAATTTCCACTGATGTATCTTTATCTGCCTAAAGGGCTGTTGGTATAGTCGGGACCAATTGCTTTGCGGGACTTCAGTAGTGATGTTATATCTCTTGAAGGTGGTTCTGTAACCTTTGGGAGGTCATAATAATAAAGTTATTATCGTTTTTAAAATATGTTATTTTTGCTGAATATTTTCCTACGAATCCTAAACCAGGTGAATGAAATGACTTTGTTTGAATAAATAGAGTAAAACAAGTCAGGGGTGAGGTGGGTGTGTCCAAATATTGTTGATGAATCACGATTTAAACACCCTTTGTCCCCTTTTGTGTGTGAAGTATTAGGAATAAAAGATAGGCCTATAGAACAAAAAGATAAGGGTGTGACAAGGAAAGGCCCAAGAAAAAGTGCAGATAGAAT